CAATGTTATTGGGCATATACAACACAATCTTATGTTTCATAGAGATTTCAACACAGGAAATGGGTATATTAGGAATAGCCTAAGTCATAGTTTTCCTGACTCAGGTATAGTGGTTTCTTTGAATGATTCTGAAGGAAACGTTGTAAGTAGTGTTTTTATACCAGTTTCAATAATGCATATTTCAAAACCAAAATTAGTCAGGTATGTTACTGTTTACAATGTCAACATTCAGTGGGAAAATAAGTGTCAACAGGTCCCACCCAGAACAGCATGTGATCTTTCATTATAATCCTCATGAGTCTCTGATTAGGTCAGAAATGCTTTGCTTTTGTTCTTTCCATACAACAAATCAAAAATTCTTAGTTTACTGCCATCTGAAAAATAACATCCTTACCTCTCATTACTTAGACACTTTAGAGTCCTACTTAATAGCATTACATTAGAAACACTGTAGGAAGGGCCCATGTCTTATCTGTATTTATTCATGGCAACTATAAAAGTGGTTTGCACAGAGCAGAACATTAGTAAAATGACTGAAGTCTCCTACCACATGAATAAGCATTTCATAAAGCATTCTTAAAAAATATTCTTATTGTTTATGTAATTGCCTATTGATTTGTGCATAAGTTGTAAACTGAAAACATGAGCATCAGTTTTCCCCAACTTTTTGTGAGTATATCTCCAAAGTTTATTTATTTAGTGAAAGAAAAATTTTTACAGTCAGAGAGTACTCAAAACTTTCTGTGATTTGAGTTTATTTCTATTTTATTAAGTTAAACTTAAAATATTCCAAAATACTGATATCTTGATAATAACTAACAATTTTATACCTCTAATAGAATCCATAAGCAACTGATTGTCTCAAAGAACCATTTCAACCATCATTTCTAAATAGAAATTCAAACCTACATAATGCTTCCTTGAAAACTCTCTGTAAAAGTACTGCATATTTTCTATATCTATTTTATTTACAATTTTATCTTTAACAGTTATAAAGCTACATTAGAAATCAGTTGCCTCACACGTGTGAGACACCAGGTTTGATCCTCAGCACCACATTAAAAATAAATAAATACATAAAAAGATATTGTGTCCATTTACAACTACATAATTTTTTTAAAAAGTTAAGAGGAGGGTACTCTTTGAGACCCCAGATTACAGAAGAAGTCATTGTGCCTTAGAAAACAGGACACAGATTTGTAAAATCATGCTAAGTGAATTAAGCCAATCCAATAAAACCAAAGGTCAAATGTTTTCTCAGATATGTGGAAGCTAACCCACAATAACTGGGGGATGGGCTAGAGGAGAAATAGAAGTTCAGTTGAGTAGACAACAGGGTAAAAGAAGGGAAGGGAGAGAGGATGAGAAATGGAAAGACAGCAGAATGAATCTGACATAACTTTCCTATGTACATATATGAATATACCACAGTGAGTCTCAACATCAGCACTACCACAAGAAATTCATTGAAAAAAAATAACTACAGGTAAATGACAGAAATATCAACAAGGAGAAGGGAGCCGGAGGTGGGGGAGAAAAGGGAAAGGAGAGGTACTAAGGACTGAATTAGAACAAGATATATTCTATGCTTTTATAATTATCTCAAAATGGATTCTACTGTTATGCAAAACTATAAAGAGCCAATAAAAAACAAATTAGCAAGAAAAAAAAGATTTGTAGTACTGAGGAGCAGTGAATCTGAAATTTGAGTCTCTTGCTATCTACTGACAACTTCTATGTTTTTTAACTGCTAAACTATACCAAATCCTCTAAAGTCAGTATCATGCTTCTCTTCCCATTATTAAAATTATCATTGGCTGCTCAGTCTCTATTGACTCCATCCCCCAAATAGAAACACACAATTTCACAACTCTTTCTATTTTCTACATCAAAACAAAGCACTTGGGGATGGAAGTGTAACTACCCAATGGAAAAGCACATGTTCAACATGTGTGAGACCCTGGGTTCAGTCATTAGCACCAAAACAAACAAACAACAACAAAGAAGCACATGGTTTGCAGATTTTATTTCCTAATAACTACTCAAATCCATCTTTTTCTCATCATATTCTGTCATTTGTATATTCTCCTCCTTTCATTACCTATTGTCTGAACTGCTAACAACAACCTCTCAGTTGACTTCCCTGTCTCATCATATCTCTTTCTTCATCTCTAGAGATATTTCCAGAATACTCTTAAAAAGCATGTTCAATCACATCAACCATTTGTCTAAATTCTTTCAAGGATACCCATTGTCTTCATAACATTGTTCATACTATTGAGTACATCAACACACTCCTTAGATCTGAGTGTTGCTCATCCTTATGGCTTCCTCGACTCCACCCCCAATATTTATTTGAGAGATAGTTACAAAATAAAGCTAAATAGGCTTGGTTGCTAAGTGGATATGAGAACTGAAAAATGGAAGAAGGAAATTGATTGAGCTATCCATAACCTTTAGTTTGTGATGTAATAACAAAGTGAGGATAAACCTTAGGATTCGGGGGATCTTTTAATTAGCTAACTACTTGACAATTCAGCATTTTATTTTTGATGAAGTAACTATTTCATTTTATTTTAATTGACTAAAAATAATTGTTTATTTCATGAGTACAATGTGTTATTTAAATACACGTATACATTGGAGAATGATCAAATCAGGCTAATTAGCATATCCGTCATCTCGAATACTTAAACTTTCTGTTATCAAAGACAACTCAAACTCAATAACTCCACAATCAATCACATTAGCTCCAATCACGTGTCCAATTCCCGATCCTTCAGTGCATCATATTTCAAAGAGAGACAGTGCCATCTATCCAGCAGTAAAGACCAGAGTTAGTCATGGCTACTAATAACTCTCAAATCAGCTCTCTTCTCTTTGTCTTCCATTTCACCTTCTTGATACCATCTACCATCTTATATATTATCTAATCTCACAATGCAACTGATGGCATCTGCTTTATCCTCTTTCATCTGTTCTCTATACTGAAGGCATACTTATATCTGACTATACCACCCCATAACCATTTATAATCAGAAACTGTTGGTTGCTTTCATAGCACCTTTACAATTGTAATTTTACTTTTATTTACATGTTTACTTGATTGTTCATTTTCTTCTCAAAGAACCTCTAGGCCCCATAGGCACTTGCCATTGATTGTATCCCCAGAAGTTAGTACAATGGCTAGTATAGAGTCAATTGTCACTATTTGATTAATGACTAATTAAATAAACTAATTTATTGACAGAAGAACAGCAAAATCTAGGCCTCTGTTTTGGTATCAAGAAGAATATTGTCAGTGATTTTATGAGTTGGATAATTCACTTTGGGAAAAATGGGTTGACTGGAAGAAACTCAGGTCAAGTAGGGGTATAAGATGTTTAGCACAAGAAAGACTGAGATCAAAAGTCAGAAGAGAGTAAGAAAGCTAGAAGATAATTTTGTTATGAACAGCAAAGTAAGAGAGAACACAAATTGGTCAACTATGCAAACATCTCAGATAAGTCTAGAAATGAAATTGAAATTATTATCTCAGAATAATTCATTTACATTTTTAATTTCTACCTCATGTTTTCTTTGTTCAAACATAACATCTGAACCTCTATCAAATGCTCTGAAGATATACATCTTCATTAAAGAATCTCCTGTAATTCTTTCATTTCTATTAAAACATTTCTGGAAGTTAAAAGAAATAAATCCCCTTTCTTCACTTCAATCTGTTACATTGATTGAAGTGAAGAAAGGGGATTTATTTCTTTTAACTTCCAATCTCTTACATTGATGCAGTGTGTTCTGATCTCTATGAATTATTATGTGCACCTGCATCTCTGTCATCTACCTCACATAAGGTGAGTTCTTAGATAGCTAGATCCAGACCTATTTAACATGCTTCCCCAAGCATGAGCCACAGTATACACTTTGTAAAAACTGCCTCAATGTGATGAAAGAAGTTAAAAATTCAATAACATGGACAGTAAGAAAACTACACTTTCTCAGTAAACAATAAATATGCTTGTAAATCTCTCTCTCTCTTCTCTCTCTCTCCCTCCCTCCCTCCTTTCCCCCCTTTCTCTCTCTCTCTCTCTCTCTCTCTCTCTCTCTCTCTCTCTCTCCCTCTCCCTCTCCCTCTCCCTCTCCAGTACATTGAAGATTTTGTCTACATATGAAATTTTTAACAGACCTGACAGTGAGGTAAATCCCAATTTTTATTGAGAAAACATTGGTAAAATAGACTTCCTTGTACACATACTTTTCTGTGGCTGTAAATTTTTCATCATACTATTTCTGATTATGTTTCTGTAAGTCAGTCAGTTACTACTTCAACAGTATTTGTTGTCTCTTTTATTAAATTTTATTTCGAATATCTCAAGACTTGTGAAGATGATTATCACTGGTATTATTCCAAATACAGGAAATTTTAATATATTTAATCTAGTGCACATTTTAAAAAAGCAAAACCATGTTCTCTTTGAATGATTCAGAATTATGTCCTTCCATTATATGTTTTCTATCACATCTATCAAAGCAGTCCTATGAGGCAGCCAATACTACTATCTTCTAGAGGTCCCATAAAGTCAGGTACGCAGGAGGAGTTGAGTATAGATATGAATCAAGTCTACAAAAAATACACATATCTACACCAACACTTGGAGGCTAGTGGGTAGTGTAAGTTGAAGGGTGTAGAAGGAGGCTGGGCTGAAAGAGACTGTTTCAAACCAAGGCTAACACAAAGTTGGAGATGACAACCAGTCTGCCAAGTATACACATTGTCTCTGCTACAGATATTTGGAATCCTATTATTTTTCACCATTTGGTTAGTAATACAGATGCAAATGGGAATAAAAAGAAAGATTACCTATGTTCCTATAGTACACAAATAATAGTCATGTGTTATCATTCATGAATGGCCTTTTAGGGAGGATGTTAAAGGTTATGTTGCTGATATTGACAATGCCTTCAGCATATACATTCTAAGCTCTGGGCTAAAATGTACTCACACTCACTTTCCCATTGCGATTGTCTTCTTCTCTCACTGCCAGGGCCTTCAAAAAATTATCTTTCAGGTCTTTTCCAGCACTTGTTAGTGCTCTGTAAAAAGAAGGTCTTCTGTTGTAACATGTTAGATTAAAAAATATGTTTAACACACTCTGGAGCCAATCATCATGCTTATTTTTTCCATGTAACAATTTTCTTATAACATATAAATCACACACATACATTATTTATGGTCTACTAGATCCCTCTATTTAATTTCATATAGTTACATATACTTTATATGAAAATAAGTAGAATCAAGTCTACAAAAAATACACATATCCATACCAATACTCATGCAAGATACATTATTTTCATTTGCATGCCCATGACCATGAAGCATTCACATTTTAATACTCCTTACTTTCCACAAAAATTTTAAATTGTCTATAACTTAAGTACAGTTTATTTATTAATTTAAGGAAACTTGAATGGATGCAACTAGTGGAATAGAGAATTAATTTTATCTCTAAGTAGAGACAAGCAATCAAGACAAGAAAGAAAACTAGATTGAGATATCTGTCAGATAAAAGGAAGCATTAAGAATTCAAGAGAAATAAATTTTAAAGGAAATTTATCACAAAGATCTCAAGCAGCATTGAACCACATCATGAAGAGAAATCAGGAATGATTTGTGAAAGAAAAATCTTGTCTTCATATAGCAATTTTCTACATAGTTGATAAACTTCATTACATGCCTTTCATGTACCAGGGACTATACTTGGGCACAATGATGAAAAGGCACAGTTCCTTCTCTCAAGTTTCCTGTGGTCTCATAGATGTAACCCAATGTGTAAACATGATAGCATATTATGTGATAACTTTATTAACAGAGATATGGACAGAGCATTTCTTAGAGGAGTTTGTACGAAAATACATTACCTACTCAAGGAAAAGTCACCTATTCTTAAATTTTAAAACAATTATCTTTAAATCAAATGTTAAAAGATGAGACAGTATTAGCCATTCTGGAAGCGGGAGAAAGATATCAGTAACTACAAAGGAATAATATGTACAAAAGAATACAGATGTAAAATTGGAAGGCAACCTTAGGTAATGGCAAAATAGAAAGTTAATGCAGGAAGTGAGGGAGAAACCACATATTATTAATGAGAGCTGACTTTTCTAGATATACTGTTATAGATGTTAATAAGGCTACACAGCTAGTAGGAGCATAATCTTAGTTCCAACCCAGGCAGTCTGGTCCTGGAACTCATTCCTATACCTTCTGGACTGTGATGTCTTTCAGGCCCTGCATGCTACTGACAGAGTTTGGAATTTTCTTCCAGAAGATGCTAAACCACAAAGGGTTTATGCAAGGAAAGAAGATAGTAAATTTTGTGCTATGGAAAAATATTCAGCAGCTATGAGAGATGGAGCTGCAGGAGAGCAACACTGGAGTGATTTATTAGGGAGTTCATTCAAAGTTTTAGACAGGAAGGAAAGGATAGATTGAGAAGTATTTAAGAGGTCGGCTGGACCTGGTGATTGCTTTTGGTGAAATGTTAAAGACCGATTGCTATCGGGTTTCATTAAATCAATATAAGCAGGTATAATATGGAAGCTACTGATGATCCAGAAATATAATCCTTTAAACTGATCCTAACTTGTCTGTGTTTGCTTCTCTATTTTTATGCTCCTTGGCTTGTAATAACAATACCAACCAACAATCCAAACACTTAAATAAACATGAAAAACAACTGCTAATTAGTACTAGTAAAAAGAAACAGATATTTTGAGAATCTTTTAAGCCATTGTTTTTTTCTAAAAGTGAGTCTTCCATTATATCATATCCTAAACAATGCTTTAACACTAAACGTCTAAAATATGAAATTCATTTTCTCAAGTACTTAGTCAGAAATATGTATTATTTCTCCATTGCTCATGGGATAAATTTCTAATCATTTGGTCAATCCCACCTAATTTCCTGCCTAAGGTTTGTTTAAAACCACAGCATGTTGGAAATTCTCTATGAAGTTTCAACAGAGAATTACTAAAGGCCCAAAAATATCTCATTGGTTTACAATTACAATGAGTTATTTCTTAAAAATACTATGGTCTATTCAACTTTGTCTTTGAGTCTATGATGATCAGTAATCTTCCAATAAGTTCCCTTGTTTATTTAGTTGATTAGAATTTGTTTCTCTTGCTCATAACCAAAACCCATAATTTGATAATGGCTAGCCAGTTAAGCAAGTCCAGAGTTCCTGAGTTTCCAAGTGATAAGCCTACTACTCCCTATTTCTATCACCTCCCCAACATACCCTGTTTTATTGGAAATTTTTAGACCTTCACAGATAAAGTCCAATTTGATCACCAACCTCAGTTTCGTGACATAAAAAGTAACAGTCATTACTAGTTTTGCATACATTCCTCAAGGTTATTTCTACAGGTTTCACATATATATTTGTATACTCATAAGATGACATATAATATTATATAGAGAGCTGTTCACTTTACTACATATTTTACAAGTTTTCTGCAATTGTTGCTCTCTTTCCTATTTATATTTATAAATATTTATAAGAGTATAAACAAAGATCAAAATTATCTCCATGTATTCCAGGAATGAAATGCCAGAAGAACTGATACCTAGATATCATTTGCTAACAGGGAAGCAATGCCAATATTCTGCTAGGTCGAGCTTTGTTGCTAAAGGTGGAGGTTTTCAGCAGATACTTGGGCAAGACCAAAAAAAAAAAAAAGAGTTATTAGGCAGCAGAACTGTTGCTACTCCTGGACACTTACTATGGCAGACACTGTTCTTCCTTCTTCCATTAAAATGTATGCCTCAGTATTTACCTGAGTGTGTGTGTGTGTGTGTGTGTGTGTATGTATGTGTGTATATATATATATATATATATATATATATATATATATATAGATAGATAGATAGATAGATATAGATATAGATATAGATATAACTGTCTGGAATAAAGAACACATTTCATAGCCTTTCTGCAGCTAGCTGTCCATGTGACTAACTATTGCACAATGGAATCCAGTTGAAAATGATGTGCAACTTCTAGGAAGTGTACCTAAAAGGGAATAGGTACTAGTTTTTCCTGTGGCTAGATTACAACATGATCATAGTGCCAACTGTAATCTTGGACTTCAACTGGAGTCTATTTTTATGGAAAAACAAGAGAAAGAAGCAAGGTCCCTGATACCTTGGGACAACAACACAGCCTTGACTTGACTGACACTTTCTAGAATTCTTCAATATGAGATGGAAAAGAATTTATATTTCGTTTGAGTCACTGTCATTTCTTACTGTTTTTAGCCAAACCAAATTGAAACAGATAATTCACCATATGAAATTCACTCACCCTTCTGAAAAAGATACTATTGTGTGATTGGTCTGGTGATCAAGTTGGCCTTTTTCCTTATTTGTTATATTCTCAAGTTTCTTAGAATATTACTACTTTCAAAATTAATACATTACTTTTTAAACAGAGGTTAAACTTTTTACATGGAAGCAAGAAATAATCAAAATTAAACTGAACTATAATAAGGGACATTTGTCTGTAGTTCCTACCCATCTTTCATTGGTTTGAGATACTACAGTTTTCTGAACCTGGGTGTCATGGCGGGTTAAATCATCTTTTAAGTCTTCTGCTAGAAAACCTGGGATTTAAAGTGATCGTACAGTATTAGCAACTACCTAACACTATTAATGTGTAACAAGTCTAAGAAATGTGAATATCATACTGGTAATACATAAGATCATACTGTTCCTTTCTATTATGTCTTATGTGCACACACATACGTTTCCTATAAACTCTATAAAGACGACAGAAGTTATTTTTATCAAATAAATTGAGAACAGGCAGGGTAAGGGTCTGGCTCCAAAGCTATTTGCAGCAGAGAAAAAAAGTTACATAAATAATCATTCTTACACCACGCTATATCTGAGACCCTGAAACGTCTCAGCAGGAAAGAAGGAAAGTTAAGGTAGTGTGTGGTAAGGGATTTTTAAATCTTCAACACGCATTACTCTTATTTAACTAGGTTTATTTAACAGCCAGTGACCTGAGAAACCTTGCTTAAGTAAATATTACAAAAGGAGTTACTTCCTCAAGAAGTGAAGTAGGACTCTTACAAAATCTTAGCCTCCTTATGCTTAAAAGTTTTATAAAGGCAAATACCCCATCTTTAATTGTTTATACTCCACTATACTTTCAAAGTGGGATAAAAGTTACATGAATGAGTTAATTTTTGTCCACTGTGTTTAATCACTAACTACAGGTATTTATATAATCCTACATGAATGACTAATATAGTCTTAATCCTGATTGGGCTACTGATTTTATGATTTAAGTGTATTGTTTCTGGATTCTATCACACCTATTCACATTATTAGATTAACACTTGAAAATAGAAAATAAAAGAGAAAAGTTCTGGAAAGCTGTTAAAGTAGAAACTTATTTTCAAGAGTTATTTAAGAGTTTACTTAAAGATAAGTTGTTTCAATAAATATTTGTGACTTATTAGTTGTCTTAAGATTTTAAATGAATAATTGGGAGTGTTCTAATAAATAAGGTTTGAAAAATCACTAGGCTCTGTTCTAATAAGCAGTTTCCAATAATCACTAACTTAAATCTGGGATTAATTTTAATAGGAATACTTTTTAGCTATTGGACACTATCTTTGTATTATTCTCCATGTTAGGTATTTGCAAACACTTTCATTTATCTCCAAATTGAGTCCTAAAGGGGAATGTATTCATTTTCACTTCAGAGATAAAGATTCAGTAAGGCAAAGTAATGTGACCATAATCAGCTGGTATTCAATATTTAACCTGGATCTTATTGATTCTAAGTAATCATTCTTTATTCTGAAGTCTCACAACATATTATTAAAATGCTGTATTTGTGTCATAATATTTTAAAATTATGAAAACAAAGAGAATTCACTGGGGTAAAGAAACTTGACTTAGCAGGGATATGGGGGGAGTGGGGCAGGGCAGGGGGGAGTGAGGCATGCAGCCTTCACCTTGAGCCATCTGAGGAAAGGTAATCAGCCACAACCATCATTCTAGTTGAAACTGGAAT